GATTTAGGTTTCAGCTTTCAAAACCTACAGTGCAGCAATTAGGTTAATCACTTCCCGCTATCATCGCAGCCCCAGACACTGTACAGGAGAATGGAGGACCTCGCCTATTCAGCCAGGCCAACAATTCCTTTTCACAACTAAACTTTCAGACACTTAGATGGGGTGGGTCATTGCAGGCTAACAGAAGAAGCCAAACAACCCCTATTCCAAAGGGGTGGACCCCTTCGTCCATTTCAATTTGCATGTTTTCAAAACAAAAACAAGGCTTTGTTGGGCTACTGTATAAAATCTCGAACTCAACGATATTCCTGACATTTTGAATTGAAAAGCCTTCTTGCATGGAAAGCGAAACATCTTCAAACTTGGAAACAAAGTCCAGTGGATTGTTTTTAATTTTCTTTTTTTGGAATGACTATGACCTGGATTACTGATAATCTTCACCAGCGTTTCTGCAAGTAAAAAAGTCCTAAAAAGAGCTGATTATGTAAGTTGTCTATTTTGACTTCCAAGGTAAACTAAACCCGTCCTATAAATTGTCCCAATTTTGTTAGTTGACATTTATAAGTGTCTCACATATGCTGACTCTGCTCATATTTCTTGAATATTTAGTCAATAAATTCTTGGGTTCAGCATCATGAGGCACTTTGATGAAATAGTGTGGTTCACTTTTATTTCTGCAGGTAGCATGCTCGAACTGGAAAAGAGTTATGTTTGTATTGAAAAAAGGCGAGCCTTATGATGACCCTGCATCCATTGATCCCATTAATGTCCATCGCATCAGCAAACTTCAAAACCTGACACAGTTTAATTCAACTGAGAGGAAGGTGAGTCAACTCACTGATGTCAGATCTGCTCTGAAAATACATTTCTTAAAGGTATAGTGGAGGATGTTAATTTTCCCGGTGGATCATCAAGATAAGTCATCCTCCTCATTGTCAGTCATTCTGGTGATATGTTTATGTAAGGCCGTTCTATGTGCTCGTCCACATTTTCTTTTACCATTGGTGAGTCTGATATTGTGAAAAATTTGCAAATCTTCTTTTGGAATGTTAGCTTGCATGAGCGCTGCAAACAGCAACTTTTAAACAGAGCGTGCATGAGGAGAAATGGGCTCATGTATCCTCTTGCACATGTTTAAAAGTCTTTCCCTCTCAGGACTAGGTACAGGGTTGTGCATGTGCATTTCTTTCTATAGTGGAAAGGGCGGGTCTTTTCAAAGATGTGGAAGTGGAAATCCTCTACTATACAGTACCTTTACCTTGTACATTTTTGACAGCAGATGTACTTTTTTTTTTTTTTTTTTTACAGAATAGGCTGATGAACTACACCAAGTTTATGTTTGTCCGCGACCCATTTGTTCGTCTCATCTCTGCTTACCGTTCCAAATTTCTGTACAATCAGAAAAATGAGTACTTCTATAGGAAATATGGGAGAATTATGATGAAACTATACGGTAACCAGCAAAAACCACCACAAACGATGAAAGAGGCAGAGGCATTGGGACTGTTACCCACTTTTAAAAACTTCGTTCAGTATCTGGTGGACCCACAAACAGAGAAAAAGGAGCCCTTTGAACCCCACTGGAGACAAATGCATCGCCTGTGTCACCCCTGCCTTATAGAGTAAGAATTTGTTTTTTCTTATGCTGAAAGGTCCAACATTATTAAATAAAGATTGACCAAAAAAAGTGGTTATTTTGTCTTTTTAGGTATGACTTCATTGGCCATCAGGAAACTCTTAAGGAAGACGCTGAAGAGCTTTTAAAA